ATTGCGGTGTGGCCATCCCCCCGGGAGGTGATTTCTCACTTTCTATCTCTCTGTCTCTCTCTGTCTGTCTGGCGAGCATACACGCCCTATAGCAAAAACCTCTCCAAAAAAAAAAAAAGAGAAATCACCCCCTGGGGGGGATGGCCACACCACAGTCCCTTCTCCATTCTCCTCTCGGAATCTTGGGCACACACACACATGCGCCTGGTGTGAGTTTTAAGCCACTACCAGGTCCAGGACGTGAACCACAGTCGACTACATGGGAGTCCAGCGACATAGCCATTATGCTAACTGCTGGTCCCTTCAGCAATTCTACATTTTAAGGCAGAAGCCTTGGTCAGGCACCCTCACAGGTCACCTGCTTTTTCTCCTGGCAGTGTTTCACCCTTGGATTCAGATATTGTTCATGCATAAAGACTAGCAGTGAGCAGAGAGCCTTGGGCTTTAGAAGTACTCTTTTTTCTTTTTAGGTTTTTTGCCATAGGGTGTGTGCTTGCTGGAAAGCCACAGAGACAGAGAGAGGTAAAACGAAGAATCACTCCCCTAGGGTGGATGGCCAGGTGGCAATCCCTTCTCCTCTAGTCTTCTCTCAGGATTTTTGGCACATATGTACATGTGCCCGGTGTGATTTTTCAAGGCACTCTGACCAGGACTTGAACCATGGTTGACCATGTGGGAATCTAGTACCCTAACCACTAGGCCACCTGCTGACCCTGTACTGATTTTTTAACATTTCTCCACATTAGAATCATGAGTCACAGAATGTTAGATACAAAGGGACAGCACAAACTGTCCTGATCACCTCATTTTATAGGTTGAGGAACCTGGAACCCAGAGAGATTGAGTGACTTGCCCAAAGTCCCTAGAAGCAAAGGAGAGAGCAGATCGTTGTTCCTGACTCCAATGTCAGTTTAATGCTCTTTTTAAGCAATCTATTGCTATTAAAAAGGTACTAGTTTAGATAATTTACACATTAGAAAATCCTGTGCTTTAAGGCCCGCATTGAGAAGCTGAAGTAATTAGCCAATGACATACTCCTACAAAATTGAAATCTGTTAATATTTGAATTATGGTCCCTTTTAAGGAAGCCTCTATGAAAGTGCTAGATTAGCATGTGCCATTATATCATCCATATTTCCTGATCATTCATACCTAATAATTATAAGAACTAGGAAAGAACAATAGAGGAAAACATGAAAATGTGTAACATGGTAAATTAGTTCCCAGAACTGCCTTAACAAATTACTCTAAACTGGGTAGCTTAACCAGACAGCAGAAGGTTATTGTCTTCGAGTTCTAGAAACTGAAAGCCTAAAATCAAGGTTTTGGCAGGGCGATACTCTCTCTAAAGACTTTAGGGTAGTATCCTTCTTTGCCTCTTCTTAGCATCTGGTGGTGGCTGGCAATCTGTAGTCTTCCTTGGTGGGTAGATTCACCACTTTGATCTCCTATGTAATCACATGGTATTATCTTTGTTTGTGTCCAAATTTACTCCTCCTTATAAGGACATGGGTCATATTGGCTTTAGGACCTATCCTAATCCAGCATTATCTCATCTTAACTTGATTACATTTGCAAAGACCCTGGCAGATATAATCAATGATTGATCAAACTGCAACGAATTTAGCGACTTGCTCAAAGTCATCAAATGAATGGGAGACAGGATGGTCTAACAGAGTACCAGACTGGGAGGCAGAAATTCTGAATCCTAACTCCTGTTGCTAATCAATTGTGTCAGCTTCGATAACTTAGTTTACCTCATTGGTTTTATCACCCAAATATAATTTTAGACAGGGTGGTGGGGGGAGGTGGCTGGTTGAACTGTAAGGTCCAGTCTAGGTCTAAAATCCATAATTTCTTAATTAAAAAAAAAATTTTAGGGGAAAGCATAAATGCAGTTCCCCACTACCGCAAATTATGTAATCGAGTTTCCCATATTTGAAGAAATCTCAGGGATCAGCGCATCTGGAATGCAATGGATTAGTCTCACCTTCGGAAGACCACCTTTGTGATCACAGTATCTCCCCTGCCAGGTAAGTATAAAATCCGTAATTTCTAAGAGGCAAAAGAGAAAACTGAAAACCAGTTCTTCCCCTTTACCTCTCCCCCTTTTCCTCTCTGCTATGGTCCGAATGTATCCCCCAAAATTCATGTGTTGAAACTTCATGGCCAATATGATAGCATGAAGAGCTGATGAAGGAGGTGATTTAAAACAATTAAGGAGGTGATTAGGCATGATGGGATGAGGGTCCTTGTAAAAGGCCTTGAGGGAGTGGGTTCACTTTCTTCTGCTTTTCTGCCATGTTCACTTTTGCCCTTTCATCCCTTCCACTATCTGAGGACGCCTGGAGAGCATGACCTTCACCAGACTCCAAACCTGCAGGCATCTTGACCTTGGGCTTCCCAGCCTTCAGAACTGTGAAAAAGCACATTTCTGTTCTTTATAAATTACTCAGCCTGTAATACAGGTTGAGCATCCCTAACTTGAAAATCCTAAATATTCCATGGTGGTTAAGGAGGCTGGATCCCACAGGGCCGACTCTGTGGTCTGAGTCCTTGGCTTGGAAAACACTACAGGAGCATGTGTATATGTCCCCAAAATCCCTAGAGGAGAATGGAGAAGGGATTGAAGCATTGTCTTAATCCCTGGGGTGTGCTTTCTCTCTCCTCTCTCGCTGGCAAGTACATATGTTTTATAGCAAATTAAAAATAGTAAAATACCTTCATGCTATATGCTTATATATGAAGTATAAATATTTTTGTGAGTTTAGGCTTATCCCCAAGATATCTCATAATACAAATATTCCAGAATCTGAAAAAAATACGTAATCTAAAACACTTCTGGTGCTAAGTATTTCAGATAAGAGCTATTCAAACTTTATTTTGTTATAGCAGCACATACAGACTAAGACACTCTCTTCTTCCTCCTCCTTGACCTACTCTTTCTTATTATGAGATCAACCATAAAGTGGAAGAGCCTTTTCCTTTTTTTTTTTGATTACTGAATTCCATTTCTTTTAAAACTGTGTGTGGGAACCTTGTGAATACATTAGGATAGATGAACAATCATCAGTATTTAAAACCCAGACATGATTTATTTTTAATTATCTGTCTGATAAACCCTCCAACATGGCAATTGCTTAGAATTCTGCTAGCTGTGCTCTCTGAATGTTTAACCCATTGTTCCAAGGTAGCTAAATGTGAATCGCATTGACCACACATGTTGGGGAAATAACCGTAATGTGCTAGATGTTGTGGACACCAAGGAGTCATGTGGCCCTTGGAAATGATGAGCTCTGTTACCCTTCCCCAGTTCTGTTTGATTTTCAGTGCATTCATGTACAGACTAGTGTTGAGTGGCTTAGCTAATAATCCTATATATTTTTACAGCATTCGTCTTCAAGCAGAGCATAGGTCTTTACAGACATGACCTCATTTATGAGCCCAGCATTCCTAAAGCAGGGAAGGGGCCAAGAGAGTTCTTATTTTATAGAGTTCTATTGTGATGAGAAAGCACTCGAGGTCCACAAAGAGAAAGTGACTTGTTCAAAGCAACAGCAAAACTCAAGGTTTCTTTCACGCTTTTCTCATCAAAGCAGAGTGCTTAAGCTGCATCATGAAGGAGTCTTGTGTGAACGTGGATCATTAAACACATACACGAGTACGTAGTGGATATAGTCCCTTTTGCTGAGTAAGACCATGTCTCTATTTCAGGTAACAGTAGCTCAGATTTCCAAAGGAATGACCTATTTCTCAGTTAACCCATTAGGGTCAGAAACTCTGACCCTGGTCTGGTTAAGCAGGGCCATTTTACCCGCTATGATCACAGTGATTAGCACACGGGTCAATGTTGCACTGACCAGATACAAGGCACATTCTTCAACATCAGCGTCACCTGCAATGAAGATGACATTTTGGTTTTCATACAGTTTTTCCCTTCTAAAATCATTCAGGCATAGGTAGAAAGCAGTGGGTTATTTTTTGAACGCTTGAACCTCAACGTTTCTATGTTCCTTTCTCAGTTCAGATAGTATACTATTCAACTTTCACCATCTTTCATTAATTTCTTATTATCTTTAAGTTAAAGTTGAAATTTCTGAACAGATCAACTCTGGAAATCAATGGGGTGGTAGGTTGGCCTCCACTTACCTCCTTAGTGTGGCATCCTAAGGCCTTGACTAAGCCTCTTTCAACTTGCAACTTTCACACTTCCCTCTTTCAACTTTCACACTTTCCCAGATATTCCCTGGGTTCTAACTTGTTTAACTACTTGCCTGTTACCAGAGCTTGGCTTATTTTCATGCTTCTGTGACTTCACACATGTGCCTTATGAGTGGAGTAATTTCTCCTCCTTTGGCTATCTAGAAAATTCCTATGCATACTTCAATTTGCCCCCCAGAAGTTGTGCTATTATTAGTTTCTAACCCTGGGGTCCCCAACCCCAGGTCATGAACCAGTCAGTACCTGTCCATGGCCTGTTAGGAACCAGGCCACACAGGAAGAGGTAGGTGATGGGCAAGCCGGTGAAACCACATCTGTATTTACAGCTGCTCTGCATTGTTCACATTACGCCTGAGCTCCCCTCCTATCAGATTTGGGCAACACTATATTCTCATAGGACCAGGAACCCTATTGTGAACTGCACATGGGAGGGATCTAGATTGTGCACTCTCTTAAACCATCCCCCACTTCTCCACCCCATATCTGAGGAAAAATTGTCTTTCATGAAACTAGTCCCTGGTGCCAGAAATGTTAGTTGGGGAGCACTGCCCTAACCTCTCCAGGTGAGAAAGTCTCTCTTTTATCTCTCAGCCCTGTTGTGGGTCTAACTATTATTAGTCTCTACTATCAACTCTTTGAATTCCTAGCCTGAAATAAACATGAATTCAATTCAGCAAATACATTTTGTGCTCCCACGATGTATTCCTCCCAAGCTCTGCATAACTAACAAGTCTCTAATGACCTTGCCTTCCAGGGTCAGGAGTAAATTTCATCCTTATCCTGCAGCAATGCTTCTACTTTTGCCCTGTCTTCAAACTCTTTTCTGAAATTTGTGATTTATTTTTTAGAGTAGATGCTTAATGATATCTACTTGAACTGAGTTGAATTATATTTCCTCTTATTCAAGTCAGGCTAGCAGCTTCATCCATCAGAGTCTTTGGAATTCATATGTTGTTATTTAGTGTACTCCCTACATTCTTAGCTTTGCATGAGTTATTGGCATGTATCTTCTCTCCTATTAGACTCTAAACCAGCAGGCCCCCATCTTTTTGGTACCAGGGACTCATTTTGTGAAAGACAGTTTTTCCATAGACCTGGACAAAGGTGGGGATGGTGGGTGGTTTCAGGATGATTCAAGTGCATTACCTTTATTGTGTACTTTATTTTTTTAAAGATTTTTTTATTTAGTTTTATTTATTATTTTTTAAAATTTGCTATAGGGTACATGTGCTCACCAGAGAGAGAAAGAGAGAGAGAGACAGTAAGAAAGCAAGTCTCCAGGTCTGGGACTCAAACCACAATTGCCATGTGGGAATCTAGCCCCTCAACTACCACACTACCTGCTGGTCCCTATTGTACACTTTAATATTATTATATTGCAGTACATAATGAAATGATTATACACCTCACTATCATGCAGAATCAGTGGGAGCCCCAAATTTGTTTCCCTGCAACTAGATTGTCCCATGTGGGGGCTTCTGTGAGAATCTAATGCCTCCCCTGATCTGACAGAAGGTGGAGCTCAGGTGGTGATGCCAGCAATGGAGGAGACGTAAATACAGATGAGATTTCCTTAGCTTGCCTGCTGTTCACCTTCTGTTGTGCAGCCTGGTTCCTAACAGGCCATGAACAAGTACCAGAGTTGGAGACCCCTTACTGCAAACTCTTGGAAGATGTGCTTTTATATAATTTTTGTTTCTTTCCTAAAACCATTCAGGCTCAGAATACAATGGATTATTTTTTGGACACTTGAACACTTTATGTTCCTCCCTCAGTTTTGATAACAGACCATGCTCCTTCTCAGGATCCTTTTTTTTTTTTTTAGAATTACTTTTTGGGAACCAGCAGTTAGCGTAATGGCTATGCCGCTGGACTCCCATGTAGTTGACCGCGGTTCACGTCCCGGACCCGGTGGCTTAAAACTCACACCGGGCGCGTGTGTGTGCATGCCCAAGATCCCGAGAGGAGAATGGAGGAGAAGGGATTGCGGCGTGACCATCCCCCCTGGGGGGTGATTTCTCGCTTTCTGTCTCTATGTCTCTCTCTGTCTGTCTGGCGAGCGCACGCGCCCTACAGTAAAAATCTCTCAAAAAAAAAAAAAAAGAATTACTTTTTAAATTTTATTTATTATTATTTAAATTTGCTATAGGGCGTGTGCACAGAGAGACGGAGAGAAAGAGGGAAAGTGAAAAAGCAAGCTACCAGGTTCACAACTCAAACCACAGTTAACCATGTGGGAGTCCAACACCCCAACCACTGTGCCACCTGCCGGGCCCCCAGTTTCTTGTTATCTTTAAGTTAAAGTTGAAATTCTTGGTCAAATCAAATCTTGGAAGACAGGGATTGTGTTTTCAATTCTGTACCACCCACAGGGCTTAGCACAGAGGTTGGCATGTACGAGGAATGCAAAGCATTTTGCTAAGTGATTGGTGAGTGAATGAATACGATTACTTGCCCTTCTCTAGAAGGAATCATCTATAAAATTAGATGGAGCTTAGCAAAAGAGGTCACTTTTCTGCTTACCACTCTCCAAGTCACTAAAAGAAGGGGACAGAAAAAGGAGAGAAAGCAGTGGGTGATCCTGAGATAAGCTTGATCTTTCTTCCCAGTATTCTGATCTCACAAGCCTTGTGTGCCAAGTAGGAACTTCCTCAAAGTTTTTGGACTTGGGTGGTACATTTTCTACTTGGAGATTGAAGGTAGAATTCTATTTTTTATGTTTTCATGTCATTTCAGTTGGAATTGGGGAGAGGGCGTCAAGTGTGGCTCTCAGTTCAAAACCCTTCTTTCAGTGCCTTCTCTGATCCCCACCCTCTCAGT